CTATACATATTACGTGGCCATTCGGGGTGGGGACCGGAATTTTGGCCTGCGATTCACTATACATATTACGTGGCCATTCGGGGTGGGGACCGGAATTTTGGCCTGCGATTCACTATATATATGTATTAGTCTTTGAAAAAACCTTTTCATATGTTTTGATTTATTTATCTTATAGAAGATTTCAATGTTTATTTGATGTTTATCAATAGTTTATGTTTGATAAATGAACATAAGTTTTAGGCTTGTCACGAATATCTGATAATAATATAAACCAATTTTAACATATAAATAAAACTAAACGTAAACTTCAAGAAAAAATAGTTTGTAAATTTACAATAAAAATGTATTCTTTATGTTAAATGATTTTCTTTTAAAGGGTTCATATTTATGAAAGCGTTTCCAAATTTGTAATATCCCCTATATATTAATTCAGAACGTATTGAGCCTAAATGGCAGACTCGCATGCTTCGAGATCTTATGTGGCAAAATTACATGCTTCGTTATTAAACTATTATTTACTTACAATCCAAAAATAGTTAGGTCCAGATTATCCATAAATATGTTAAATGTTTATAGTAATATTACGTGTATTAATTTATTCTAATATAATTTCTTATTATAATCATTGAATTCTAAATATATTTTAAAAGTTAATAACATTTGTATTTTTTATCAGTTTTACATATATAATATATCAAATTAATCATATCTTGATGAGTTTCGATTTAACATCTATATTGTATGTATAAAAATAAATAAATTATATTTATCTTTATTATAATAATAAAATTGATTTTTAATATTAATTAGAAAAATAATATTATTTATCAATTAATATATTTATATATTTCAAGTAGTTATATGATATAAGTTATAAAAATTACCATAATATAACACATGTAAGACGCACAAGTAACAAATATCATCCTAAAATATATAATAATATATAATTTTGTAAAAAAGTAAATAAAATTTAAAATAATTCTTTATATTAATTTTTAATATTTTACAGAATAATTTTTTAACAAGTACCGGGGGTGTTGTTATTGGTTATGTACAATTGTTTTCAACCATGAAATTAAAGATGGACTCATAGATTTAAACAAACGGCGAGCCATACTGAAGGCCCAAACCTAAGATGGCGAGAAGGGCCCAATATGTGTGCACAACACAACAAAAGCCGAGCCACCCTACTTTCCCAAGTTTCATTTCACTTTCACTGTATGAAGTAAAACTGATGCAGCAGCAGCACCTCCAACAACCGTAGTCCAAGGTTCCATTTTTTTCATCCTTAACCTCCATTTTTTTTAGGTTTTTCTTGTATACGGCGTTGTTGATCGAATGTTGCTTACTTTCTATTTGCTTGTCTGCTCGTGATCACGATTTCCAGCTTTTTTGTGTTTTTTTCTATGTTCTTTATGCTGTATCTACGTGTTTTTTCTTTTTCCAGATCTTCAGTTTGGCTTAAATTGAGCATTTTTTGCACATTTTAGGTTTTTCAAGATGTAAATATTGATGATCCCGTGTTTACATTTTCTTGCTCGTGCGTTTTTATTGTAAATGGTTTTTGTCTGGGTTTTATCGACTGTTGCAAATAAGCCCTTCCTCTGCTGTTACTTGGTCCTAAAGATGCGAATTTTAGCCTGTGTTTGTTGTTTATTTCACAATTTTGGTAATCATTATATGGGTTATTGGGTTAGGCAAATGATCCGTTTGATATGTTTACTGACTGCTTAGCTCTGCAGACACAAGATGGCAATGATGGCTCAGCTCCGTTACTCCCCTCTTTCTGGCCACTTTTCGAGCCCGACCGGCAGCTCTGGCGAGATCCCTAAATTCGGCCTCAAATTCGCCGACAGTACTTCCGCAAAGCCCCTCTCCCTCCCTTCACTAAAATGCAGCGGAAATTCAATGTTAAGAAATCTTTGTTTCCAAACCAAACTCGGCCCGCCTTGTGCTGCTTCAGGCGGCGGTGACATCAGCGGCGGCGGGATTGGCGGTGACAACAGAGGGTGGAGCGGCGGCGGCAGCGGTGGCGATGGAGATTCCGACGAACCCGAGCCATCATCAGTAGACAGGTTCGGGCCAATCGGGGCTTTCATCAACGGGTGGCGCTCTAGGGTTTTGGCCGACCCCCAATTCCCGTTTAAGGTCCTCATGGAGGAGTTAGTGGGTGTGAGCGCGTGCGTCCTAGGCGACATGGCCTCCCGCCCCAATTTCGGCCTCAACGAGCTCGATTTCGTCTTCTCCACCCTCGTCGTGGGCTCCATCCTCAATTTCGTGCTCATGTACCTATTGGCCCCGACGATGTCCGCCTCGACTCAAACCCTCCCGGCTTTCTTCGCGGGCTCCCCAACGAGCCACATGTTCGAGCCTGGCCCATACAGTCTGCTGGGAAGGTTTGGCACCTTCGTCTACAAGGGGGCCGTGTTTGCTGCGGTCGGGTTCGCTGCTGGGCTTGTGGGTACTGCCATATCTAATGGGCTGATTGCAGTGAGGAAGAAGATGGACCCGGGTTTCGAGACCCCAAACAAGCCACCGCCCACGATTTTGAATGCGATGACATGGGCAGCCCACATGGGCCTGAGTAGCAACCTGAGGTATCAGACGCTCAACGGGATTGAATATCTGTTGGCGAAAGGGTTCCCACCAGTGCTTTTCAAGACTTCGGTTGTGGTTTTGAGGTGCATGAACAATATTCTCGGAGGGATGTCATTTGTGGTCCTGGCTCGGTTGACCGGGTCCCAGAGTGTGGATGGAGGGGAAGCGAGTCGTGTTGTGGAGGAGTTGGCTGAGAGTAAGGAGAAGCTGGTGAGTGAGGTGGATGAGCTGGAAGATAGAGAGACCACATCAAAGTGATTTTTGTTTCTTTGTTTTCATTTATGGGTGCTTTTCGTTCGTGTTTACTCGTGAGCAGTCTGATGTACTCGAGTTAGAATCAGGAGAACTGATCTTATTTGGCTTACGTTTTTTATCTGGCAACTTGTGGTTTGGCTGACATGGTTTTTGCGATAATTTTGATTTGCTGTGATTATCCAGTGTTGGTGGTAAGCTTAGGTTTGCTTCTTAAAATTATGTGTTGGTTGGTTATTCAAATGGTGATTTGCGTGCATGTTTTGGTTTCGTGTGATCTTTGAAGTGGATTTGTACCCTCGGAGTAGAGTTACGGAAATAGATAAATGGCCATTGCCATAGCCCGTAACTCTCTCGGTTGGCATCTCCAGGGTTGTACAGAGAGTGTCTTGGTTCTTGAAGACCACTTTACTAAGTTATTTGAAAGTAAAACCTAGCCTTCAAACCAGATCATCATGTTCGGTATAAAGTGTTTTAATCTTGTGCTAATGAACTTGTACCAAAAAAAATTGTACCAAAAAAAAATCTTGTGCTAATGAACAGATTGTTGTGAGCTTAACTCTCCTTCAGGCAGGCATCTACGCTTCTCTGTGTAAGCTCTCGACATTTACCCTTTCGATACATACGTAAAATTTGCATAATGCTATTTGTAACAATGGTGCAATTTCATCAGGGATTTTTTTTTTCAATTGTAACAGGGAAATACTAACCAATAAGTTACAGTAGATACCCAAACAAATATGCCTTTGGCCAGCTCTGCTTCTGCCTGAGACGGCCATAAGGATCGTGAACCCAAGCTATCTCATCTCTCGTGCCATAAGTCACCAACAAGCCTTCTTCAGGCAATGAACCAGACCGCTATGAGCCGACCCAACAAAGTTTGTTGCTACCATAAAAGAAAATGTTCAGAGTTGAGTCCAGAGATTGGAGAGTGAAGCCAAATGATATAGCTTTTATCTTCACTATCGTGCTTGTGTGGCTGAGATGAGTTCTGGTTATTTATTTGTCACCATGAATTATGTTTAGATAGGTCATGATACTCTATTATGGACAGAACGATATTGATAAATGTATAGAGTTAAAAGAAAATAATTATTCAATGGTAGATTCAATTTCAGTCTAGTACACAAACGAATGAGCAGCCAATGACCCTTAGCTCCTATAGCGAAGGTGTCATATTTTTTTTGTCTCTCCTATAAGCACATGTTGAGAGTTCTAGGCTTCTAGCACTATTTTAAATATAGTACCAGTCGGTACTACCGGATATGAGTGGACCGGTACGGTAATCTTTTGATATTTTAAATACGAGAAGTGCACTAACCTGGAATAACTTAGAACCAGATTGAAGAAGATCAAGAACATAGTCAGGTCAAGTTATGACTCTAGGATAGTCTAACAGAAACTCGACCTAGAGCTAGAAGAGCTAGAAGTCAACCTCAAAGACTGCACTACGCCGAGTACAGATAGGTTAGTTAGAGGATAGGTGATGGAGCTACTTAGCTCGGTTAAGTGAAGGACGACCACCTAAAGAATCAAGGCAGTGTGAATGTAAATAGATTAGAATGAGTGCGAGCGCGATAGGATAAGATAATATTTGGACAATAAGAATGCTTGGGTAATAAATTGGGTAGATATGGGGCAATATGGGTACTTGAGCAGCAAGATCGGACAGATCCCGGGCAGCCAGACACTCGGGCAGTGAGATTGGACAGATCTTGGCAACAAGGTAATAGTTTTATATACGATGGTGAGGTATGACTATCACTTCTTTTTTCCTCTAAACATTATGTTATTTTTGAATGGCATGTATTAAACTTTGTCAAATACTGTATATTAATCTTAAGTAACATGTTACAAATAAAAAATATAAATATTGAAAAATGTTTAAATTTGTAGAATAAGTACAAAAAAATATTTTTTATTATATGCAAATTGTATAATAAATGTATTAAATAATCTTGATTGGTTTATAAATTAGATGTATTGTATTTATTTAGTTGTAGCAGTCTATATGGTCATGTATTTAAATAGTGGTTCCCCAAGTTTTAAAATATAATTTTTTTTGTACCATAAGTGTTTTTCAATTATATCAACTTATATAACATGTGAAAAATTAGCATTTATCATTCATTAACTCTTAATTGATTTAGTTTATACCATTATTTATTTTTCTAATAAGAAAGGAGAAACACGGCCTTTAAACAACACTAGTGCATGGCCCGTGCGATACACGGGAAAATAATATTACGATTGTGTTATAAATTAGATATACAAATAAATTAATCAAGATTTACTCATAGTTTTTAAATTAAACTGTGTTGGACACAGTCCGACCGGATGGACCGAGAACCAGTTTATAATCAGTCTAGTTCACTTGAATAAAATATTTGCTACTGAATCCGTCAACACCAGTCGATTGAACTGGTAGAATCGATACGATTTTCTAAATAAATTTCGCTATATTTAAAATTATTTTAAATAAAGTTACATATTTAAATAAAATAGAGTTTTATAAATTGTTTATCAATTAATTTAAATATTTGAATTTTTAAATTTTTTAGATATTTAAGTAACACATTTTATAAAAAAATATTACAAAAAGTACCATATATATATATATATATATGTGTGTGTGTGTGTGTGTGTGTGTGTGTGTGTGTGTGTATTCTTAAAGAAAAAAAATAAATTGTATAATTTCTATAAATTAAATTGTATGATTAAATTGTATGATTATATTAAAGTGTATTTATAAATTAAATTATATGATTTTTAAAGAAAAAATAAGAAAAATAATAAAAACTACTACTTATGGGTTGCATTAAATGCTGACCTTTTTTTTGCTACTAATTTTAGTAAATGAGATGGCTCTTTATATAAGTATAGATGTTTTCATATGTAAAATATTGAAATACTACAGATATTTGATTTGGGATATTGATGTAAATGCTTAATTTTAAATTTTCAAATTTATTGCGAAAAATATAATATCAAAAACTATTATTGTCTCTTTTTAAATATATTTTCATTTTTAATGATACATAAATATTTTCAAGAAAATCTGACATATAAATTGTTTCAAAATAGTGAAAAATATTGTGGCCTTCAATTTTAAAACATATTTGCAATTTTTTTAAATATAGATTTACAAGAAAATTAATATAGATATTTAAATATTATTTTAAGAAATTATTTATACAATAGATATAAAATATCGGTTTTGCTATGAAGCCAACAGTTGGTTTCATAGTGGAGCCAACTTTCTATATACTACAAGTAAATCTACCATATTCTCTGATTACTTAAATAACACTTTTATAATTTTATTAATATTACCGAGATGATACCGAATAAATAATATTAAGGTGATACCGAGAATCATGAATCTACAATGTGAAAATTTTGCTACCATAGCAAAAATATTTGAGTACAAAATATTCTTGAAAAATAATCTATGCTAAACAATGCAAGATTTATGCATACGGGTTTAACAAATAATATTACATAATATATGTAAAATATAAAAAAAATATTCTATATTATTTTAAAAAAATGTATCAAGTCAAAACTATAGCTCGGTGTGTGTTTTAGAGCTCGATGTGAGCCAGAAATAAGAGCTTGAAGTATGAGAGCTAGAGCTCGTTGTTTGAATTACAGCTAGAGCTTGATGTGTTAGTTAGAACTAGAGGTAAGCTAGAGCTCGGAATGTGAGATAGAGCTAGAGGTAAGCTAGAGCTTGGAGTGTGCGATAGAGCTAGATTAGATATGAGAACTAAAGCTCAATGAATGAGCTAGAGGTAAGAGCTCTATATTCAGGGTGATTATGCGGAAGTAGAGAAGATCAAGAGTTGTCGCGGTTTGAATACAAATTTATAAACAAAATGTTTCTATCTAATTAAGGTAGAGAATTATATCGTAACAAGGTAAGTCAATCAATCATATATCTACCGAGATTTGCAAAATTTATTTCTTTCTTTAAATGAGTTTTTAACTTGAAGAACGGAGTTGATGACCTATAAATGTTGGTATCATGTTTGTCTTAAAAAAAAAAAA